AGTTCTGAGGATACGTTAGGTAGTTCTCTTACACAATTTCACCTACTTGTTCTAAATACATAACAACTATACCGATTACTTCCGCGTAATGTCCCGCTAAAAGTAATAAAGTGATACCTGATGTAACCCATCAATGTAGTCTAAACTCTCCCCAGGACTATATGAATATTAAATACTAGTTTATTTTAATATAATGCGATTATCGTTTTAATTCTACGTAAAAGGAACCTCACAGAAAAAAAGGTATACCGCTGATAAAAGCGTCTACCTGGCGCAAATTCGTCGGGTCGCCTTAAGGGTGACGAAATCCACTATAAACGTCGCCTAGAGTAGTACTTTTAATCAATCAGTTACACTTTCTAACGTTGAATCAGAGATATAAAATAGTTGGCGGTTACCTAGACTACCAGGATCTCACCAGTATCGGTTGCGACAATATTTTAGTCACTCGGTAGATAAAACCTTACAAAATATTCTAGGAGCGAAATCTGGTCCTATTTTATGTCTATCTGCTTGGTCAACCTGACTATATATCTCCTTTTACTTATATAAAATATAAGCAAAAGGTATTCATTCTAAGGACAACTGGATATCTATGCAGAAGTCGTCGTATATAGAAACTAATTTCTCTACTCCGCCGATATTTTTTATTTCCGTTCTCAAAATATAACAAAAGCGCGGCCATCGTAATGATGGCGATATCTCTTTTTAATTATATTTGAAGAATATAAAGAAAAAGGAGTCACCGTAGCGGTAACGTGTATATTTGCGTTTTTTGTTAACTTGACTCGGTGAAGAAGAAAAAGCTAATCCCCCAGCTCATAAAAACCGTGGTATTTATACCTAAATTTCCTATATATGCAAATGTATCGGAAAGAGAACGACTGCGAATCCGGTGCATAAAGACTTTAAATGCCGCGTTTGAGAATCCACATCGGATGCATCTGGGATGTAGTAAATCTTTGATCATATGATTCAGTATACGTAAATGTAATGGGACAGATGGATAAAAAAACGCTCGAGATGTAAAAAATGCATCCGATGTGGATTCTCAAACGCGGCAAAAGCCCTGTATTAATTCCTGAATATAACCCTAACGTTTCACATCTGGTCTTGTCTAGCGGCCCGTACGCGTTGTTCTATTCCCAGAAGTAATTAAGCGGCGCCTAAGTGTGAGATACCGAGATGTTGTTTGCATTCGAAAATAAAATTTCAATATATTTAATATATAATAAATTATTTAATTAATTATCTACCCCCGGTTGTCGGGTTTCAATATAGGTGCATCAAATCAAAAAATTGCAACAAATAAATTATATTATAATTGTAACATTGTAGATTATTGATAAAACTATTAAACTATAAATCAATTACCCTTTAATAATTAATCGCTACCTACGCTTACTTTACACACCTAAAAATAAAGTTCATACTTTCATGAAAAACACTATACAACTATAATAATTGCAACGAGAATGTACATTAAACTGATAATAACCAGCATTAAGAATGCAAATACACTTACTGTAATTTTGAAAGTCTTTTATAAGTCTCAGAGCCTTACATTAAGTCAATTCCGAATTATAATCATAAGCAATTCTTGTAACAAGACTTTCCAATACTTCTCTCATAATAATTTAACAACTACATGGATAACACTGTAATTCGATTATTTTAAGCAAAATTAGTGTAGTAGTTGTTTGACTTTTTTAAAGAATGTTGTATATGATAGCATCGTTTCTACATCATAAAGTAGTAATTTGAAAGTGTCAATGGGAATTTAAAATGACACGACAAAAATAAATTTGAGTAACTGTATAACAGAAGAAATATCCATATGTCTCACTCAGACGAACATTATTTCCTCACAAAAGGAATAGTAACGACAAATCCAAACTTTCAAATTTATGATATAAACAGTAATTGGCTTGTCTTGCAGAAATCGGAAACAAGAAGTTGTTTGAACTCTCTTCTTATTATTGGATACGGTTCAAACTGTGTGTGATGCGGGGTGGTTTGGAATTAAAAACCCTTTATTGCTGTACAAAATTAGGCACTTTATTTTCATTATATATAAAAACTGCGTTAATGGAATGACAACTGTAATTAACTGTATTTTAGTTTAATATGAATGTTATATGTAAATTGAATGTTTAAAATCGATACGATGTGTATCTGTCGAAGGGAGATTTACCTAACTTGAAGCCACTTCAAATCCTACACTTCCTTGAGAAAATAGGATTGGAAGGGTCGTTATAGGCATCGAGGCATTTCCTTAGTGCACTGGCGACAGAAGGGGACACAATAGATCTTTTAGGTCGCAGTGTATTAACCATTCTCAACATAACATCTGTCGAATGCTGGATGAGAAGTGATGACGATTGACGAGACACGAGAGGTGCAGATTATGCAACACAAAATTATATTTAAGATGGTTATCTGACGATATGCTCAACTAGTCAATGTCGGGTTATCAGGTTTTTTAAACTGCAACAGAAGTCTTATGTACAAAGAAAAAGGAAAAGAATATTCCTGAAATCAAAGAATTGTTTATAGACCACAGCATCATAAAATTTGATTAGAAGTAGATGGTAAACTTAGGTGAAGAAACAAGGACAAGCAAACTTAGAAGGAAGCAAAGAGTTAGATAGAAGGTAAAAACTAAGACATGAGAATTTGGACTAAGGAACTGAGGAGGAAAACTCAAAATAGGAAAACCTGGCATCAAATAGGCTTCTGCACATGGTCCCACTATAAATAAAGCTAGGGCTTGGTAACTCCTTAGCAGAGTCTAAAAAAGCCATGAGTAAACCTAGAAAAGATTAAAATAAAAACGAAATTACAGTAGACAATTGTTTATTGACGTAATTATATTTTGTACAGTACTGTTAATCCATAGAAAATGTATACTAAAAATTTAAATAACCACTACTATATCAATAGTTGAAATTTAAGAATAAAAACACATAAGGAAAATATATTGTTACAACAAAATTTAATTTTATGCAAAAATTTATAACAATATTCTACAAATGTCCTAAATTTAAAAATTTAGCATTCCACGATGTTTGGAAAAACTGAAAAATAGTTTCGTATACAAGAATTTCAAAAACTAACCACTTAAGTATTAAAAAACAAGGTATTATCTAAAATTATAATTTATACCTACAACTTACGCTTTCTTTCAGCATATATTTATATAAATTAATTTTTTTAGTGGAGGAGCATGTGTAAATTTGCGACAACTCAATAATTTTAGAAATGGAGTGAAATCTATATTCAGATTTGCTCACTGTTTTACTGATCACAGATATATTACTCCGTATCTCTCTTACACTCGTTTATAATGACGTACCTATCGTATTAATCTCTAGAATTTGTTTGCTTTGAGAACAGGCTAGGCCCGTCATCAATAGTGCCCTGTCCATTGATGTTGCATTGCTATAGGCTATATTAGTGTGACAGTTAACTTTTAACAAATACAAACCATTCCGTCATTGAATTTGACATACAAGTTCTTAGTTTTTTTTTGTGTTCAAAATTGATCATAAAATTAATTTTAATGTTTAAATAAATAGAATCTTGAATAAAATAAAATGTTAATGAATCTGTTTATATAAGTCACTATACGCCAAAGCTTTTCTATAGTCCATGTTCAGTCAAAAGAGTGATGGTACGTGTCTGGCCTGTTCTTAAAGCAATCGAAATTTACTTCCATCACGTCAATCTTTACCACACACGAACAACAAAATCAGTCAGATGAAAATATAGTATTTATTCCCTATGATCAGATCTGCATATACAGGGTGTTAGTATATTCCACCGACAACTCTCTACCCCAGAGAACTCTCGCTGAGAGATACAGGGTGTTAAAAGTTTGAAATCCAAAATTTTCCCTAAATTAAAAAGCCTTTTAATAATTTTTCAAATTTGTACATAAACTAACTTTTTAGAACCAGTGGCGCGCTATCAAATTCTGTTCATTTTTAGTCTAAACATTAATAACCTTTTATGGAGCCAAAATGAAATAGAATTTTGCTTCTAAACAAGTCTACATGTACTTGGATAATATGTAACGACTCAATATTTTGAAAATCTAATCTATTACACGTGTCAAATTTTAATTAGTTCGTATATTTGACAAATTTTGAATTAAAACTTTTAACACCCTCTATCTCGGTGACTAAGCCGTCCGTTTAAAGGTTTATGTTCCTATATCAAAATTCATCAATTAACGAGAGCTCTCTGTGATAGAGCGATGTCGGTCGAATATACTAACATCTTGTATGATTTTTTTATATTGTAAATTCATATTTTTGCGCAGAATTATTTGAGTGTTACTTCCAAAATTTCATTCAACATTGTTTCGATCAAATTTTTAGATTTCGTATTTTAGTTCTCATTTAGTTACCCTTTTTAAATTACTGATATTTTTGAAAAGGCTGCCGATTACAAAAATCAAAAAAATAAGAATATAAAGACTCATGTAAAAAACTATAGCCAACACATTTAATATATTTTTTAACAGCCATTTGACATTTCCAAAAATTACCCACAACAATAGGTATGTACGGGTGTGCGCAAATTTTAATTTACCAAAGTGGCAAATTCAAAAAGGGCCAACATCAAAATCGAAATATTTGCATTATGACAATGAGCATTTAATTAAACAAGGAAACTTCATAGTATTGACAAATGATATATTAGGTCATTGAATTTATAGTTTTTTACACCTAGATTAAAGGGTCAAAAATTATAGCGAATTCATTACTATAATACAAAAGAATAAAAAAAATTGGCGGACCCACAGCAACCAAACTTATGACAGTTAAATTTAACAAAAAAACGAAAGGAAAATATTTTTTGAAAAAATTCTACACCCATTTCAAAATCACAAAAGTTGTCAAGGAACATTTTTTTTTTTCTACATATGCTCATGCACTATTCCATGTGAACGATAAGGAAGAAATCAATAAATAGACTTAGTTCGCCTTACCAGAAAAAATCACCCATTATATAAAAATAATTTCTCTTATGAAATCCCATTTGATCTCTCTTAGAATTTACACCAGTGTCTTAAAAACCGAAATGATCCGAGATAAGAATCATTGACTACTCAAGTGGTTCGAATAATCAGAAAATGTTTAGTTTATATTAATATGCAGGGTGTTTCAATTTTTTGCAGCAAGATTAACACTCAATAGAACATTTAATATTAATACCAAAAGGTTATAAACAAAGGTCGGCAAATGCTTAGTTTTCGAAATATAAGATGTTCAAATTAAATTTAATAATGGGATTTTTTAAAATATCAAACATTATTAAATAATATCATATGTTCAGTTATTGTGTTCAGCATGAATTGTGTATCAAACAAATTGGTTCACCTTTTGAACAATTTCTACAAATTGGTTTTTGTTACTGATACATATTTTTGTTCTGTTGACAGTATTATATTTATTTAAATCAAGGAAGAAAAACTCAAGTCTGCCAAGCAGATTGACAAATTTCGAGTGTTCATTTTTTCATTTAATCAATTGTAGACCTCTGAGATAATATTTGAAATTAATTTATTTATTAGCCTTTGAAAATTGAATTGTTTTAAAGCACATTTTACATTCTTAAATACGGTGATACTGTTGACCCGTATTTTAATGGAATAAGTTAAAAAATTTATTTTGAAATTTAATTTGATTATCAAAAATTAAGAGGTTGACAATGTATTTTGTAGCAACTATTTTTATAAGTTTTATAAAGCGTTGACTTTGATACAAAATACAATTACCCTGTATAATATAATGCTTTTAAATAAATAAAAAAAAATACATATAACATATTTTCAAGATTGTTCTGAAATGTTAAATCCTTGTATGTAGCTTAAATTACTGTGCCCTCTGTATATTGCGAAAATTTAATACTGTATATTTCAATTCAATAATAAATTTTGGTTTCCTATGCATTAGTATTATTAAATTTTTGTACACAAGTTTCCCATTGGAAGAGTAAAAAACCCCCTTGTTTTTCTATTAGAATAATCTATATTAGAACGTGTCACATTTTGATTTCTTTAATTCTGAATACAAAAAATAAATACATTTTTCAGATGCTCAACTTTGCTCATAATACTGAGCTTAATAATAAAATCATCATGACAATTCAACCTATATTTCTAAAATAGTTGTTAAATTTATTATTTAACATTTATCTACAAAAATAAAAGTGTAATATGTAAATAAATTCAATATACTGTATAAAAATCCGTTCCCACTTGAACATCTGAAAGTCTCAAAAGAGAAGGGAACGTCAAAATGAAAAATATCACTAAAAAAAACAAAAAAACAATTTTTGTGCTTTTTATGAACTCTAGTAAATGTGTTACTGTTTTATTATTTTGCACTGTTCTATTACAATTCTAAAAATGATCATTCATACTTAAGATTTTTTTTATGTAATATTCAACTTTATATCACAATTTTTTCTAACTTAAATTTTGACGTACTTGATGTATTTTAATATTAAAAAGTAGTAATCATTACTTTTATCAAATGTAGTTTAATTTTTTTTTCTACCGGGATTATTCGGTTATTTTGTATTTAAAAAGTGATAAAACGATTCATAGAATATCATATCAGTTTTTATCGTAATAAATTAAGAATGAGCAGAATTAAAACTACGACTAGCTACTGATATTCAAGTGGAAACTTATAATAATTATTATTAAGAAGATGATTTTTCGAACCACTGTCAATGAATAGTATAAAAAATCCTATTCATTTAAGTTTATTAATAATAATAATAATAATAATAAAAAAACTAAATGATTCTAACGGCAAAAAAAGCACTGAAAGGTTCCTGCCGACTTGCAACCTGTGGAGATCACACATTTTGTGGGTCATTTATTTACAGTATACACGCTCACTTATCAACATCCACTTTTATTCTTTCCTTCGTTTTCAGTCTTTTGACGGGTGGTTCATCGATTGTTTCTTCCAAACCGGGCAGTTGAATTTTTGTGTCAGATGCTTCTGAAGGCTGAAAATCCAAAATCTTATGTTCAAAACGTCTCACGTACAATGAATTTAAATAAAAATATATTAAACCAAGTGTGAGCATGCTAACCAAAGACTTATTCACATAAATTGTATAAAAAAATTCTTCAAGACTAATAATTGTTTACAAAATAAATGAACTCACTTGTTCAACATTAAGGAATATTTTATAAAGAAAGGACCTTCTACATACTAGAAAATTGTTTGATATACATGTGCAAAGCTGCATAAATTTTACAGTACCAACTAAAGAGAATTTTACTGCACTTATAAATATGCAATTGTGTCCCAGACAGATATATCAACGGGATATCATTAAGTAAAAACAGTATTAAGGTTAATCAAGAGACTTATTAGGTAATTAGTTCTATGAAGGTACATAATATACTCAAAACTTGTATCAGACTATTTGGAAACTTCAAGAGTTGGGTAGCACGACAGCAAACGTAAGATAATATTAATGAAAGGCCTGGTCTCAGGCCCTTCTATAGAAAGCAGTGGATGATAAACATATTCGAGAAAAGGAAAGGTTAATATAAGTTGAACCAACTTCCATTTAAAGAAAACTTAACTCGATCCGGGTTACAAGTAAAATTCCGCTACTCATTCCTAGTCATTGCAAATACAACTGTCAAAGGATTGATCTCAAAATAGATGGAGGGTGCAACAGTCACGAACTGGGGAGATACTTAAGGGCTAACTCATTTGAAGGAATTTATACACAATCCAGGAAATATCTATGCATTCTCACTGGAATGATGACAGGACATTCGTTGTCTAGGAAACCACTTGAGAAGGACAAGTCTATATCGGACTGTTAATTCTCAATGTGGAAGACGAATCCATAAAATATATTTTATGTACCTGCTCCGCTTTGGGAAGAACTAGGTTCTAGATCTTCGGTTTCACCAAAATGGAGCCTATCGACTTTAAACAGGTCTCACCCAATTCAACCATGGCCTGTATCAAATAATGTGGCTTGTACAGCGAACTATAAGTTAGACATAAACCACAATAGATCCATCTGGGTCAGAGTGGAAGGCAATGAGATCATCCCACTCAACCTATTGTTTTGCAAAGTCATGTTTTAAAACATTTTCATTAGTCACTATTGCATTTTATGGGGCATTTTATTGAGCAAAATCAGCTATTATGTAATTTTTTTAATGGTAATGTCACCATTTGACCCTAGCAAATATACAACTGGGGCCTAATTTTTAACAATAATACTAATTTATTAAGTTTATAAAGACAAAACTATTAAAAGCAGATAAAAAATTAAATCATCAACAAATTAACTTTATTGCTATTGCTGTGATTTCTTAACGATTCTTCTTTATAAAAACTCTAAAAGTGATTAGTGATGTGTGAGTACGTTTAAGATTTAATAAATATACTCCAAACTATTAAGTTACTACTAGATGAAGTGAAACTACCATTCTATGGACTGATGAGAAAAGCCCAGATTTAGAAGCTAAGCACTCACATCAGATCGTTAAGATCAGGAGGTGGTGTGAAGCCAACAGTAGTTTGTAAAGAGTATAAACAAAAAATATTAATTTGAAATTTTTAGCAAACATCAAGCTTTGTAAGAGAACAAAGCCTATTGATTTTGAAAAAATCTAATTAAAAATGGGGGGGGGGGGGGTTAAGGGGTGTTGAAATAAAAAAAATCATAATTCAAAACGAAAAGCGATATCGACATGAATTTTTTAGTAAAAATCAAGCTCTATAAGAAGATGAAAAATCTGAATAAATTGGGGACAAAGGGGGCTATAATAAAAAAAAATCCTAACTCAAAAAACGGAAAATGATATCAACTCGAAAATTTCAGGAAAAATCTATAAGGGGAAGAAGTCCTTTGATTTTGAAAAATAATGTGATTGAAAATGAGAGATTTAAGAAAGGTTGAAATAAAAAAAAATCATAAATAAAAAACGAAAAGCGATATAAACATGAAAATTTTAGTAAAAATCAAGCTCCATAAGGAGATAAGCCTACTCATTCAGAAAAAAAATTGAATAAAAATGTGGATGGTCATGGGGGGTTAACTCAAAAACGAATAATAATATCAACTTGATATTTTTGGCAAAAATCAGGCTCTATAAGGAAACAAAACCTACTGATTTAAAAAAAATATCTGAATAAAATAGGGGTCAAGGGGGGTTGAAATAAAAAAAATCGAAATCAAAAACCAAAAGTGATATCAACATGAAATGTTTAGTAAAAATCAGGCTCTATAAGGGAATGAATAAATAAGTAAATAAAAATGGGGAGATAAGGGGGTTGAAATATTGAAAAAAATCTTAACTCAGAAACAAAAAAACGATATCAAATTGAAATCTTCAGGAAAAATCAAGCTTTATAAGAGGATGAAGCCTACTGAATTTGAAAAAATCTGATTGGAAATGGGGGTTAAGAGGGGTCTGTTAAACTGTGAAAAATATAATATAGAATTCCAAGCATTATATATTATCTTAGTTTAATATTGTATCTTTTAAATATGAACTATTACATTTTGATGAACGATCTCAGAATTGATAGTAGTTTAGATAAGTTTTTAGGGCTCTGCATCGATCATAGACTTAAATGCAATAACCATATGAAAAATATGTACAAGAAATGGTCCTCAGGTTGTAGTTAGATCTATTTCTCTAAATTTGAACAACAGTCCCGCCAGGAATGAATATTTCGCACTTATTGATTCTCATTTACATTATGGTATTTGTTTCTAGGGAAGCTGCTCTTTGGAACTTTTTAGTAAAATTTTTATTCTACAAAATAGAGCTGTGCAAGGTCAGCATGGAAGTTTCATGTAAACCTTTGTTTTTAAATTATAAAATGTTAACCGTTTCATGTCTTTTTATTTTAGAAACTGCTTGACTTTTAGAATATATAAAAATATGATGCATACCTCCTCTTTAACCAATACTTGTCAATCATATTATTATTATTCCCCTTCCAATTCCCTATTCTTTACTTACCTACTAAAAATTCTATTGTTTATTTAAGTAAAAAAACTGTTTAACCACTTGCCCTTGGAAATTAGACAAATTCATTAAAAGAGTTGCGTGACTTACCAAGGAAGAAGTATTACTTTCAAAAGTCTATTATACGGTACAGGAATTTTTACTGGGTGGTTTTATATTATATATAATCTGGATTAGTTGTATTGACTTTAAAGTTATTATATACATATATATGTATGTTTTTATTTTAAATGGGGTGATTTTGAAAGCAAGATTTTTATATCCTATACAACAAAAAAATATGTTTTTATTTTGATTCATCAAGAAAAATTCTGATTATTTTGTTAATCTGCCAAAAGCTAAAATAAACTATGATTAGCACGACTGCACCTCTAACAGGTTAAAATGAACCACCATTTTTTTTGCTGTGAATACACTAGCGAACCTGATCAATTGTAGCCCTTTTTTTTAGGAGAATTTACAACACCTTACAGTTAAAAGGCCATGCATCTTCAAAATTCGCTGAGAATATAAACCAGAGGAGTATTAATTAGTAGAGCATTGCAGGCTATACAAACTATCGTCGGCAGAAGATACTTCACACAAATTGGTTAGGAAGCGAAAGTATCTGTCAGCTATAGAGTTGATCGACTTCCTATACTGTAGAGTCCATTAAAAAAGAGCAAACTTAACCCAAGATGAAAGGATATTCACAAAATTTGCAACAAAGGTCGAGATGGGGTAGGTTTGCTTCTCGTTCGTAATCAAACTGAAAATATATGGAGAAAGAAAACAAGAAGACCACAAGCAATTACTCTATTTTGAACTTATAGTAACGAAATGTTGAAGAATGAGCTACAAGCCACAAGAAAACTAATGGTTGGTTGACCAATAATTTTTCTAAAAAATAAGTATTCCATTCAATTTGTTAAATTGAATTTTTGACAAACTAACCTAGCCTTACCCTCCTCGAGTCATTATTTCGTCAGTGTTACTAACGTGTACATAACTCAAAACTTCTAATTCATAATATTTGGATAAGAAATTACAAATAACGTATACCAAAGGACAAGACAAAGTAAACTTATAAGGCGCTAGGTTTGTCAGTATAAAATACTGTTAATAAAAAAGTAAAACAACTTAAAATAAAAAAAACAACTACAAAACAAACAAAATACAAAATAATTTTCGTAGGAGTGAGCTACCTTTTTTGATAAAAAATAATTTAACATAATGTAAAATTAAATTATTTATCTATTAAATTTTCTTTGACACTTCAATAATTCATAAAAAATTAACATTAGAAATATTGGATTACCACCTAATAATTATGTGAATTAAAAAAACGCATTGATTTATTGTATACCGTGCCATTGATGGAGCTAATGAACATGAACAATGCGATACACTGTCATGTGGATATGAAAAATAAAATAGATGAAATGAAAAAAAAAAATAAATAAACTACACATTCATATCATACAACATCGATATAACGTAATTCAAACATACCTGAGCATCTATTCCACCAAGAAACTGGGCAAGCTACATTAAAAATATTTATCATAACCTTAAAAAGCATTTCGGTAATATTGTCTCTGTTTTGAACATGATTTTCTTAAATAAATCTTGTTTATTTTATTGGAATAGCTCATTTTACTGAAAACAATTTATTACAGTTTACTTACCATTAAAACAGTGACAACTTTTTAATATTTTGTAATTGATGTTACTTAAAGTATAGCGTGAATTTAGAGAGTTAGAAGTAACCACTTCGTAGTTTAGAAAATATTCAACTAACTATGAATTTGTAATTAATTTTATTTTTTAGTAGATCTCTAATGTTATAAAATGTCAATCTCAGAATAGTAACGTAAACATTTACTTGTAAGTATTAAAATATATTAATAATTAGGCTCTCCTAGAATAAGCAAAAAATTATTTTGAAAAAAATACCAATAAATGAAGTAGGAATAATTGTGTAAAATTAGGAGTACCCCACTAAAATTAGCAT